TTGTATTATATTTGATTTACTTGCTAAATGGCATTGTTGGGGATTCTAATACTTATCGTTATATTTGAAATGATAATTTATTTCAAACACTTATATTCTCATTCTCTTGAATAAATTGTTGTAAAACGACTTTAATCAAATAATCGTCTTTTTACAGATAATGTTCTCAAAGATTTACAATCAATTATTTTTCCAAAGTTTTGAAATTTGCTAATAAAGTTGAATCATGTAAAACTACTCTTTTGTTTTAGAGTAAGCTCCCTTAGAATAGCCGCTGGATCAACGACATGGAATAGTGGAGGTGAAACACGATTACTATCGTCTTTTACGATGGTAGGTAATTTGTTTATTTAAACGTCTTAGATGTCTAAAAAAACTAGATATTTCTCCTGAAAGCAATAGATTTGGAGAGAAATAGTTACTTCATGTATCTAGATAGCGCAGAATGGAAAACAAGTTTAATTATACGTAGGTAGCAAATGGTTTGCCTACATTCAGATATAAGTAAATGGAACACGAACGACCACGTAAAAATTACTTTTCTTACTATTGGATAAAACCAGATAAGTACGAGCTATTGTCTCTTGACATTTAGTACTACTTATTTTGCGCGCGAGATTTCTATACCTGTCAAGTAATATCATATCGCAGAAAATAAAAACTGTCTTTTTTAATGTATCAATTATGAATGATTATCCAAAATAAGCAATTCATCTTCGTAAAGTGATAAATTAAACAACAATCAGATATCTGCATTATTGTCCACCAATTGTATTTCAAGTTCAATGAATAACATATCTGGGTCATTTCGTCTAAAGAACTAAATACCATTTTCTTCGCAGCATCCTGATTATGATGGGTTTGGCGATGGCTTCCCTAACGATATCGCTGTATTGGAGCTTGAATCAGCATTACCATTCAGTAGTTCTATTGCGAAGATTGAGATGGCAGATGACGAAGGCGATTTTTCGGGAGACAAATGTATGATTACAGGATGGGGCCTGACAAATGATGGTAAGGTTTGGTCTATTAATTGGGGACTTGTTCATAAGGTTACGTTGAGCACTTGCTCAGTTATATATAATCCTTTTTCTTATCGGTCTGGTACACTATCTCAAGCAATATCAGGTAAAAAGTAAAATTACAAAAATACCGAACTCTGAGGAAAATTCTAAACGGAAAGTTCCTAAGTAAATGGCAAATTCAAAAGCTCAAACACATCAAACGAATGGATAACAACTGTCATATTCCTGACTTGGTACAGGCATTTTCTTATGTAGAAAATGGTGGATTAAACCTGGTTTTATAGCTAGCTAAACCTCTCACTTGTATGACAGTAGCATGAAATTCCATTATATTGACAACGATGTGTGAACAAAACAAACCGACATAATAGTTAAAAATGTCAAAAATATGGGTAGAGCAGTCAACAATGAGTTATAATCTTAATCACTACAAAAACAAGTAAATATGTCAACAAAGACAAACAAAAAGGCATATAGACAAAGCACATTAGCAAAAACGAAAGACAAGAATACAAAGAGGTAAGACGCTGAATGTAATCTGCATTGATGTAAAAAGATAGAAGTATAATCCTTATTTCACATCACTTTGGTCAAAGTAACTAGTATTAACTACATCATATTTAGAAACGAATAAACAGTAAGTAGGGATTTTAAATTCAGTAGTAACATATCTCAATGAACAATAAAATAATGTTTTCTTTTTCTAGAGCAGGTCTTATTAATATCATTGTATCATATAGTTAAGGTACATGTGCAGATTAAATTTTGTGTTATAGACAATATATGGTCACTTGATTGACAGCTCACGTTAAGGATTGAGGAATGCGATAATTCAACATTATGACTATAACCTGTAAATAAATACATAGATACTAATATGTTGAACTATTATTAACTGTGAAACAGCTAAATATACCAGTATGTTAAATTGTAATTCGACTTTACCGCAAACGGTAAATATTGTTTGAAGAAAGATAACACAATTGCCTTATTCGTGTTATTACAAGTCCTTATGCCCTTTTTGTATCAGTAGTTTATTGAAAAAAACTGCCTTTGTTTTCCAAAAGTTCGTAGAACCGGACATATTGCATTATTGTACTTTGATTTTTATTCTCCAACAGCGTCATATTAAATGTACTGAAAAACATTATTCACAATTATTTTGTTTTTCGAAATAATTACTTTTCTTTATCTTTTCTTAAGAGTGGGATGGAATGAGTACTTTTTTATCGTTTATTCATAGCATCTATTTTGTGCTAGAAGTCACCGTATATTGCTAAAACTAAACAAAAGCATAACCGTAACTGTCTGGGACGCACAAGAAAGAGAAAGAAACACATGGAGATCTTTCACAAAACGGTCAAACGCCATCTATTGGAATAAACAAGTATTCGATAATTGTGATATAGTTCTCTAGTCTGATGCTATACGCACATTCGGGTTGCATCTTAAGATATCTATGCTTTGACCTGATAAGAAGTCTGTCATTTTCAATATCAATTTGATGATTTATATATATATATATATATATATATATATATATATATATATATATATATATAAGTAAATGCAACTACAAACGTTTCAACATGCCAAATATTTTACATACAGAACCAGGTCTTCCAGATGTGTTACAGGAAGTAACAATGACGGTGCTTTCTAATACTGATTGTACCGATAGATGGTCAACTGTTACTGGTGCTGACATCAACGGAGGTCACATTTGTATCGGTAATGATCAAGACAGCGGCAAATCAGCATGCAATGTAAGCATTCTTACTAATCTGTTAATCGTTAACGTCATACAAATTAGCAATGTTGCAACATAGTATGCATTATTAGAAGACTAGGCATGTGTTCACTTAAAACTATTTTCTTATTCTGATTGAATATGTTTAATAAGTCAAGAAGGTCTCAGACTCAATCTCCTGCCAGAGGGTTTAATAAAGATACAGCTATATGCAATACTCTATATTTACAAAATGATACTGCTTCCCAAAGCGTCTATATTGGGTAAAGAGAAAGGCTTCACAAAACAGTCATTAGAGCAGAAACTGTTTATCCTTCTGGACGACCATGTATAAACGGTAATTTGATGTCAATTTCGACATGTTTATTATAGCATGATTACATGAAATTTTGAAAAGCTTTTAGAATTTACAATTCAATGGTTTATAATTTCATTTGCAAGATAATTGGCTTCACGTTGCCTCTCCTTCGTTATTTCTCCAAAATTTCACACATGTATACAGTAATTGTCTAATTTAAAGGGCGACAGTGGTGGACCTATGCAATGTGAACTACAGGGTACAACATACCTTGCTGGAGCAACATCATGGGGAATCAGTGGTTGTGGAGTAGGGTACCCTAGTGTTTATACAAGAATTTCCTTCTTCAGAGATTGGATCCGACAACAGACAGGGATATAATATTAAAGGAATCTAATACCAAAATTTCTGATTTTATATCTGTTTTGGGAGATATTTACATAGTATTATGTTAAATGGTCTGTTGATGGTCGATTTACTTGCCATTTTTACATTTCTTCCATACAGAATATGTTGCCGAAAATGGAGATATATATGAAAGACATTTGGTATAACGACTGTCTTGTTTCGATCACCGTCTAAGTTTAATATCTACTGAAAATGGACAAAAATCATTGGTCAAATGAGATGTGTATTCTATAATTATTATTATTGTTGTTGTTGTTGTTGTTGTTGTTGTTTTTGTTGTTGTTGTTGATAGTATATTGAATAGGCGCGGGTATGAACTCCACTCGGAATCCATTTGAATGAAGAGGGTGGTCGTCGAGTAAAGCAGAAAATGTTATACTACCTGAGTTCCAGTATATTTACAATGATATAACGTTCAATTTCAAATCAACATTTCCAATTTCCTAATTTCCTATAGTAGCTGAATTAAAAAGACAATATGGAAGGGTTATGGAACTTTCATGTTACAACCATTATATTTCAGCCGTTTTACCTTTATCACCATCCGGTCTTGCTCCTTTTAGAATTCATGCGATTACCTCCTTATCTAAGGTTTGAACAGAAAGTAACGCCAAACAAATCTAGATTTAATGTCGGTCCGACAAGAATTTCCCAGCCTGCAGTATATGTGGTAAAACGTATATTTCTGAGAATTCAAATACAGGTGATGTGTTTCATGGACATTGTGAAAAAACGAGCTTTCGAAACAGGACGAAAAGCGAGGGTCATCGAGCTTTTCTACTGTTTTGTAGAGAGTATAAATAAATTATATTTTTCCGACAATAAACATTATATCATTTTATCATGCTATTTAACCCTTGACGCTGTATCGTTCAGTTTTTCTACTAAATATCAACCGTTGTACATGCTTCAAACGCAGACCGCGAAGAGGAGACAAAGGTGAACTGCAATCACTTCCATGCGTTAATCGTACTACAGCTGAATCGATGACAATACCGGTACACTAAAATAAGGAGATAGGGTTTGTTTGGCACTATTACAAATATCAACACGAGTCCATAGGACGAGGATGTACACAACTGCTGCTGGTCTCCATCATCACTGTTACCAATGCTCCGGTACTGACCTGATTAAAATCATACATTGTTACTGTATATCTTAAGTTTATAAATTGTTGATTGCATTAAAATTGCAATTGAAATTTTCTCATACAAACTTGATCATAGACGACATGGTATTTTTCCATTTACATTTTATATCCGATTTTCTGTAGGATTTTGATGCTTATTTACGTACACAGATTATAGATGGTACAAATTAACTAAATTCATTCAGAATTTACTGACATATAGACCTTCCAATGAAATCATATATATCTCCAAAAACACTGGAGTAGCCTAACTTGGATGAATATTAATAAGGTAATCAATATAAACATTTGATTCAGATACTTGAAATGAGGGTATCTTTTTTTTGGCGGGGTGGTCACAAATAAATCAAAACTATTGTAATTTATTCTCTATGTCATTTTCGGTTTCTTTTTATTAATTAATTTCATATGGTTATGGTTTGGTGTCTGTAGACATGTTTTTCTCTCATAATATTTCCGGCATTCCTGTAGAGCAGCTCGTGTTGATTTATTGTCGCCTTTAATATGATATAATTGAATTAATAATTGGTGCGATTGAAGATTTTGTTCATCGATTTTCAAAGAGTATGTCAACCTCTGCCTTGCTGATATATACGATCCATAATATATTAGCCAGTCTGCTTCCATATTTATTATTACGGGGTTGTTAACCAATGATGAGTTATTTGCAAAGGAAGATAAGGCTTGCTCTGTTATAGAGTCAAACGTTCTCTTAAGTATTTTGAAATCCCCAGATGTATATATTTCAACGAAAGCGGAATCTATCAAGAGTCTTCGACCTGCAACAATAAGATAATTTATATTTGAATCTCCTATAATACTTTTCCAAAGATATCGTTGATTGGTAACTGATATAAAATCGGAAATACGACTTAAAGTAAATATTGAATTTGTTCCATTTCTACGGAAATTGGAATTCACGATTATCCTTGCATCTTCTCCAAATTTTAAATATTCTTTTTGATTAAGTGCTAAGACTGAAACATTGTGCCGAAGGATTGAAAATCCTCCAGACATATGAAAATCAGCGTCTAGAAATACACCGGTCACATTTTGCTGTCGACTAATGAAATCAAGGCAATTATTCACGTGATTTGAATTATAGATTCCTCTGTAATTCCATTTTGATATTGTGCTTTTATTAAGAGAAATGAATATGTTCCCTTGGATAGCTGCAGTTAAAATGACAATTAGATACACAAACTGCTTAATTTTGCACAATTTTGATCCTAGTTCACAAACTACCACAATAATTTTACTGTATAAAATAAGTATCAACGGAATAACGTCGTGAACAAACCGAATTTCTTTGTGTCCTTTTGACGAATACAAACACAACAAACACAATATTATCATAATCAACTGCTTAGTCATTTTGACTTCCAACATTTCTTTTGGTGAAGAATTTTCATGACGAAAGAGGACGGTATAAACTGCATACAGCAGAAAAAGAAATATGCTAAAAGTCAAAAGTATAATGTTGAGCCAATCATCTAACAGTAGTCTCCGTAGATAAAACAACATTGGTTCAACTCCAAACAATTTTGCTGATAAATTTCCAGCAACGTTGAATTTAATCCATTGCCATGGTGATATAATGATTGAATCGTAACTAACATAATCATCTCTCAAACCAAGGGAAATAGCAAGAATGAATCCTATCAAGTAATATGGACACAAGAGTGATTTCAATCTTTTAAAATTAATTGTAAACGCGACAACAACAAGTATAACGGCACAAGTGTCCGGTCTGACGTAGACCAGAAGACCAAGTATAAAACCAGAAAACACAGATTTTATTATTATAAACCATCGTCCACCACTCTTTTTCGCCATAGTATGTAAATATATATTTGTCGTTGAATCATTCGACATTACATCGTTTTTGCTCTTTATTATTAGTTTAGGTAAGTTTGCATTATGGTCTGTTTTACAATGAGCCGGTATCTGTTTGAACTGTGCTTCGTTATACATATGAAAATTGTATACTCCACACAGACTAGAATACTCGTTTCCGTTATTGGCTGAGCTGTTCCCTTTATTATGTTGGGTTTTTAACGTTCTTGAAGAAGATCGTTCAAGGATATCAGCTATTATAAAGTATACCAACGGAGACAGAAAGCTGTTGACTAACGTATGTGTTGACATGATATTCAAGTGAATAGAACATGCACACATAAAAGTTGAGAGAACTGCAGTATCATGACATCCATACATACACGTAGTGAATTTGTATACTGATAAAATTAACAGTGACGATACAGCCGTATGAAACATTTTCCAAATCTGTGAAAATAATGAAGATGTTAAAGTCATCAGAGTAAATAGCCTTCATACAATTCAATTTGTCACATGAATTATTATAAAGAAGGTGTATAGCAAGGCAATCCATTTGCCACATTTGTTAAAACAAAAATATTCAATTGATTTAAATGTGTCAATTAATAATACTACGGTGACATCAGCATACTTACTATTTTCGAGGGTAGCATCTCAAAATCAAAAGATTATGTATGGGTCACCTGTAGCTTTTGTATAGATTTATGGATCGGATTGTTTTTAAACAATGGCGAAGATACACGACACCCAACAAAAATCAGGGATGAAGTTTGGTGCCCAAAATGGTAGACATTTCTATCAGTGGCACACATCAACATTTCATAAAATATATGCTTAACTTGGAAAAAGTCAATGTAAGAAAATTATATAAATAAAAGTCCTCAAAGATACCAGGCTTATAATTTATTATCATGACAAAGGCTTCCTCTACTTGGCACTCAAATCAAAACAGTGTGAAGGCCAAAACATATTCGAAGCATTGAAAACCAAAATTCCAAAAAGTTTTACCAAATTCGGCAAAGAACATCTATGCCTGGGATCAAACTTCATAAGGTCTGAAATTAAACAACTGTATATTGATACCTGCTTTTCATTGTCTTTGAGTTGTCCCGTATATAAATATTCGAGAGTGATTTCTCCTCTCTGAAACATGATATATTCTATCTTCGCCATATTGTGATTCAAATTCTTTTTCGACCTATCTGAAGTTTACATTGGCAAATGCATTTCTCTTTCAATGTATAAAGGGGAGATAATTTAAAGTTTTATAATACAACTGCATGACAACATGGGGAAAATTCTCAATGGGGTACTACTAAAAGTAAAATATCTTTTAAAGTATATGCCTGTTCTGCTTAGCATTTTGGTGATACTATCAAACGTGTAACGGGTTTTTTTGTTCGTGTGTGTATCTAATAAATGTTATTCCAGAAGCAATGATAGTTCACATACATCGTAACAACCATTAATTATGAATACAACATTTTAGAGAAAAGGTTCTTTAATTTAACATTAATGTTAATTATCTTTGTCCTTCACTACAGTGTAATTACATAATTGTACAATAGCATTTAAAAACTCCATGTGTTTTGTAGACTGTTGTTTGTATTCTCGTCGAGTTTTTTAATTTTTTTTTTGGGGGGGGGTGGGGGGTGGGGGGTGTTTGGGTTTTTTTGGGGTTTTTTTTGCCATATCGTTGTCACTTTGTCTCTTTTTCATTCTATTTACTTTGTTGTTTTTTATATTGATATGCAGATATCGGTCACTGGTGGTTAATGCAAATAGCAGTGGTATTAATATTTTTTTGTTTTAGTCATGCTTTTTTGTTGTTCATTAAATTCATTTTTCTTGTATATATATATATATAATTTACATACCACAAATATACTTCCTCTGTATCCAAAATACAGAAAGCAGTACCCAACGTATGAATAAATCTTTGGAATGATAAAAGACCGCAAACTGTACATTCCGAGATGATATTCGTGTTTTCTGGCAATGGTAATATTCGGATCATTCAAGTCTGGTGGTGGGAGATATTCGTAAGGTCGAAATCCAAACCCATACAGTTCCGAGTGAGCAACTTGAAAACAGAACAGAAAAAATGTAATTAAACGTGTATCAATCTTTATTGTAATTCCATTAAAATATCAAACACAAATTTTTATTCTAGTACTTTAGATGATATATTGGCAATTATCGTACACCAATAAACGTACGTAGCTTTAACTGGTAAAGGTCGTAACAGCACGCCAGAAAGACATTGTACAAACCTCGTAGATTTATTGCAATCAGAAAAATATCTGTCCCTATCTGACACACCCTAAATTTAAATTCAGTTCAAATACCCTTCCTTCATACCGGTTGAACTTCATGGCAGAACCTACCAAATGTATTGATAAAGTTAATATGTTCTCGTCTTGAATTGTTAAGAGGATACTGTATATGCTTTGTTTTAACATATTCATTTAAATGTTTTAATTAATTATGTCAAATGTTGCCTCCATGTGTACGTTGTGTATAAATATTGAGTTTTATACCATTACGGTTCAGTCTACAAACTATAATGTAGTACTCAAAGGTAATGTATAGCTTAAATGTGCATGACTATCATTACTTGAATCAATAATTACACTGATTTTAAAATTGTATTCTCAACGGTAAAAACTTAAAGTAGAAATAAATCATGTGGTATGTAAAAGTATGACACTTTTATAGCTCCCAAAATCCAAAGAAAAAATGTAAGTGATTTGGGTATTCATTCATATGTAACAATCACCTAAAAAGTCAGAAACTTGTAACAGTATTATAATGTTAAATATATTCAAGCAATATCCTGATGCAGTTATAACGTGTTGCATTGCACCATATCAAGAATTGTTTATCATATTAAAATAACCAAAGAAGTTGATCATGGGTAACATATATTATTTGTGAAATGATTTAACATTGCGTCTTCCTTTGCTAAGTGATGTTGATCTTTTTGTCATTAAATTAGCTCTTTATGTAATAATTCACAGAAGTCATTTTAATGGTACTGATCTTTCCTACTTGTGTAAGTGTATGAGAAAATATAAATGTGCTTTCGTTAGATACTAATGTTTGAAGGTCATGTCCTATCTCTCCTTATCATGGCGTATGACATACAAATTATGTACATTGTTGATACAACATACTCATTCATGTCTCGTCCATAAACACCAACGGACGTTTTAAAACAGCAAAACAGGTTGAAGACCTCTGACTTTGAGATGAAGAACAGCAATACATGCACGTGACTTTGCTTCTTTATGTGTGCATAGTGATCTTATGTTTTGAATTGATGCACCATATTCTGTCTTTTCCATTAGATAAATATAATGATTTAGTTTTAGTCCCGAAAAGACAATGTTGTTTTCGTAACGTCATAAGTATACACTGTATTGATATTTTTGAATAATTTGGTAACGAAACCCTTGACTTGATAATGTTGGCCTTGATTTTTTAGAATAGATCTTGCAATTTATATAAATATAAAAAGGGTGTAGTATGAGTGCCAATGAGACAAATTTCCATCTGAGACCAAATGACATAGAAGTTAGCAAATATTGGTCACCGTTCGTTTTATTTCTTTTGTATTCCCAGTTCTTACTCAGATGATAAAATATTCCAAAAGAACCGTGACATTTTAAACAATTTATCTAATAGCTTTCAACTCAAAGATACTTATTCATATTACACCGATTGTGATTGTAAATTGAAAATAGCAACTAAATGAATTGTAATGACTTGGACTATTTTTTTAAATAAACACTTGAGTGTTAGGACTTTAAATTTCGGAAAAGGGGTGTGAACTGTATCAAGTTGTTAAGTCATAATGATAAGTCTAAATAGCCTGAAAATTGTAATAGGTTTAAAAGCATACATATATAGAGGACTCGGACTTCTTTTCAACTGAGTTTTACTGTGCGTATTGCTGTGTGATTGTTTATTCTACATTGGCTAGAGATATAGGGGAGGGTTGAGATCTCACAAAACATGGTTAACCCCGCTGCATTTTTGCGCCTGTCCCAAGTCAGGAGCCTCTGGCCTTTGTTAGTCTTGTATGGTTTTTTTTTTAATTTTTATTTTAGTTCATTTTTATGTTTCGGAGTTTAGTGTGACGTCCATTTTCACTAAACTAGTACACATTTCTGTTTAGGGGCCAGCGGGATTTACTCGCTGTGTTGAAGACCCATTGGTGGCCTTGGGCTGTTTTCTGCTCTTTGGTCGGGTTGTTGTCTCGATGACACATTCCCCATTTCCATTCTCAATTTTATAATTTGCAAACTGAAATAAAGTCTTAATAAAAAACGAAAATAATATTCATTTATTAGAAGTTAAAGAAAAAACTACCAATGAAATATTAAAAAAAGACTATAAAGACTGTTAAAGTATGAAAAAAAATTACTACAATGTTTTATTTCTTGAAAGCAACTTGTACACTTAGTATCACAGCTAGTTTTCGTTAATCTTAATTTGCCCTTTCAGGATTCAAGGCCATAAACTTCATCAAAGTATGTACCAAGTATCTTTGTAAATCGTAGAAAAATTGCTTATGAATTTAAAACGGTCGTCACCTTTTTAAATGTTGTACAGTAATAAAGTATTTTTATGAGTTAAACTAAAACGTAATTAAATTTATCAAAGTTACAATAAATGATACACCCATTAAACATTGATGGGAATATCACATTAAAAAATTGCTCGTGGCCAAGTTGTATATATATATTGGTTCATTTAATTTTTGCCAGGCTTCATTTCTTCGTGACGAAAACAAGTAATATATTAAAAAAGGGTTACATATACTAGTAGATGATATCAGTCAATAATTCAATAAACGCAGGAAAACAATCGGTATATGTGTCTATACATTATGAAAATACTCCTCCTTTATCTAGAAAAGTGGCTAATTAATTAAACGGAGGCTATTAAAGATCAAACAGTAATTACAGTCAGACGCTTAGAGCATACGGTCCCCCTTTTTTCTTTTTTCTTTTTCTTGTGTACATGATTTTTTTTAGAATATATTCATTATTATTTTAACATATGTTTTAACATATTTTCACTTATTTGAAATGTTCATGTTTTTTCATACGATTTTAAAATAACAGTAGTTTATATATGCTTTCCCTCTATCCTTATTAACTAAGAATCTTCCGGAACATATTTGTTAGAGATGAAATTAATTCATTTGTTTTCTATGTACAACAATTTTGCCACCAGCTAATTGCACATTGATGGCTCTTACAAAAACGCCGAAACGTTTTATAAAGCATCAAGGTAAAGTTATAAAACAGCTAGTTCAAATATATTTTATATTTTCCGACACTTCACATATATATATTGTATTTGTATATTTAAATATTTACGTGGAGCTGCCAACAAATCGATTACCTCCTTTTTGGCATGTATCTTATAGTTAACTTTTTTTGTCAAATCATTTGATATGAAACCTTGAATAAAATAAAAAATCCCATCTTCAAGCCCTTAACACATTTTTCAATGATTTTCAATGATCTGATACTAGTATATAAAACCCTTGTTATTATATATATATATTTGTTAATCTAATTTATTATTTGAAAAGAAAAACGAACTCCTGGCGGTCAGGAGTTACTTGAAACTATGTATCAAATATCCTTTATAACATCTCTCCATAAGCTCAAATAAAGGCTCCATTGTTATATATAGAAGGTAATGTATATATATAGGAATGTCAATAGAATTGTGACTTGCTCCCTTTACAGTTTTGAATAAAGACTCTCTCTCTCTCTCTCTCTCTCTCTCTCTCTCTCTCTCTCTCTCTCTCTCTCTCTCTCTCTCTTTTACAATTTTGAATAAAGACCTAAGTTTCTGCCAATAATGAAAAAAAAATCTTCACTGAATAGTACCAGTTTAACTTATACTCCAACAACAGGACTACGTATTCTTAGACCCCGTACTCCAACAACAGGACTACGTATTCTTAGACCCCATACTCCAACAACAGGACTACGTATTCTTAGACCCCGTACTCCAACAACAGGACTACGTATTCTTAGACCCCGTACTCCAACAACAGGACTACGTATTCTTAGACCCCGTACTCCAACAACAGGACTACGTATTCTTAGACCCCTTGCTTAAAATGTTAGGGTTTGACCGTTCCTGACGAACATGAAATAATCTCTCTCTCTCTCTCTCTCTCTCTCTCTCTCTCTCTCTCTCTCTCTCTCTCTCTCTCTCTCTCTCTCTCAAATAACCTAACATTTCAGATATAGCTGGAAAAACAACTAAGCTTACCATATCTCTTATAACATTTAGTCAACAATTATTCTATACCGACACTTATTATATAAATTTAAAGCGCACTATACATCCATTGGATGTGCTGATGGATATTTTAGTCTTTAGTTAGATACTTTTTATTACTTGTTTTTGGCTTTGTACTATAGAAGAGAGGCAAACGATACCAAAGAGACATTCATACTCATAAGTCAAAAGAAAACTGACAACGCCATGACTAAAAACGAAAAAAAGACCAACTGACAAACAGACAAACAACAGTACACAACACACAACATAGAAAACTAAAGACTGATCAACACCAACCCCACCAAAAACTGGGGTGATCTTATGTGCTCCGGAAGGGTAAGCAGATCCGTCGTGTTGCTCATGCTCATGGAATAACATACAGTATATAACTGTGAGTACTTTCAGATTTGTACGTTGTGTCTTTTGTGTTTTTGTTATGGAATGAGATCTGAGCATTCAACTATTAGACAGTAACCCAACGATACAAATCACAAAATATCCGTCATTTTCAATAAAAAATTTGACATGAAACAACGGTTTAATATGGTTACAACCATTTCTTTAACCGAAAATTATAGCAAGAGAAACTTTTCTATAACTTTTTAAATTGAATTTTAGAGACAGTCTGAACGGCACTTTACAAATCCACGTATGTCGTCTTAAAGCTGATTCATGAATGCAGGGTGTCCATACAAAAATATAGCAGAAAAAGATTGATAAGCCGCGGTAAAAGAGATCACGTTGTCTGTTTCTTTACAAAGAACGATGGTTATCATAACATAGCATTACCTCAGTATTGGAAAATTATCAAAAAATTATTTTAAGTATTCATTTTTATAGTCAAAAACATCATAAAAATGTCTGAAATTTTGAAGGTGCATATGTAAGCATACTTATTCGAAAATCGTTGTCCCGAGTTTTAACTTTTCACGTACAACCTTTTAACGAACTAGTATTATAGAACTCATTTATTTTTTTTCCGTTTTATTCTTAATTTAGTCATCAAGAACGTATACAAAAAGATTGACATACTGTCATATAACTGTCAAAATATGTGTCTTTTCATTTTTTCATACATAATTAACCTTATTCACGTGGAATGAAATGTTAATTCCTTTATCACTTTATGATCTGACATTTTGGACCTTTAAACCACAATTAAAGTAGCTGCATATGATTATTATCTCCCTTGAATGACAACCGATCAGTACCATTTCTGATCAAACATTTACAGACACTCGCTCATAAATTGACCCACAAACGTTTTACATGAAACCAATTTATCGAAAGCAGTCAATTCTTTTTTCTAAGAGATGTTTATTTAAAATCGTGTTGTAGGTTATGCCTTCTTACTATTTCTTAGGCTATGGCTTTAAAAAAGGAGATAATCATATTCAATTTCTTTGTTTCACACACGGGGTGGAATCTGAATAGCAAAGTCTATAACAAATATGATAAAAATTAAAATGATAATCATATATCTATGAATTTATTAGGTTGTACAGAAAAATAAACTGTTATCGGAACCTCAAAATTCACACGTTAAAGCTTTGATATTTCCACTTTTATTGAAAATTCTAGGAATTATAGAATATGAAGCACCGTGTTGCCATATTTACTTTAGCTCTTTCTGCTATCTATATAGTTATACATTATAAAATTGACCGAAAAAAAAACCCTTGTCTTTCTAACTTCAAGCTAATTTCACAACAATTTTAACCAGTTTAGCACTAAGAAATAAATACTGCAAGATTGTCTACAGTGTTTGCATCAACATGATTAAAGGTTAAAGAAGTAATTTTCTATATCATTTTCTTCTTAGAGACATTTTGTCAATTTAGCCTTCAATACTTCATTTTAAATATGTTTAAAAGATGTAAGCATTGAAACAGATATTTATCATTCTTCTATTCAGCTATTAGATTTGAATACTATATATATAGATTTTAAAAAGTAAAAAGGTTTTATCGAAAACCATACATTTTGTAACTTATTTCTTTTAACAATTTTCCATGAATATATAGTATATAACATTGAATAGATGGTTTGAAACATGAATCATATAAAATATTAAAATACGACGAGTTTTTCTTTTTAAGTGTGCGATATTGACGACACATATCTTCTTTGGTGATCTCTCAAATTTACAAAATAATGAAGATGTGGTATGATTGCAAATGATAGATATAAGAAGATGTGGTATGATTGCAAATGATAGATATAAGAAGATGTGGTATGAGTGCCAATGAGACAACTCTGAGACAACTATCCACCAGAGTCCAAATGACAAGGAGGTTAGCAACTTGTACGGCATTTAACCATGAGAGAAACTCATATTGTAAAGTAGCTCGGATGGCAAAATGTGAAACAATTCCTAAAAGAAAACCAACCGTCTGATTTACGTATAAACTTCGGACGATTCGGATCTTTATATCAAGTACACAGTCACTTGTATATTGTTGGAAACCTTACGTTTATCTTTTGGTATCTTTTTTATTTTATTTTGTGTGGAGTTGCTGTCTCATTTACATAAACTAGCTATATCACAATCTTCTTTTATTCATTACTTCACAGAAATTTATAAATAGCTTTAATTGTTAGTCATGTCACAGCTCGGTTTGCGATTTTTTCTGGACATTAAAAATGGTTAGGATATTTATATTTATTATTATACAATACTAAGAAAATGCTCTCTTAAGTTCCAATAATATGTTTGATTGATTGTTGCTTGTCTAACAGCCAGTGGCAAATATTTGATGCATACTTATTGTGATACCTTACCTTCCAGCGTTTGATAAATCTCATCCGGGTGTAAAATCCACCAATTGTCTTTGTTTATAACATACAGAATTCTAAATGTTACTGTCAGTAAAAATATGATCCAATGGAAATTTCTTGGGAAAAGTCTGGAATCTCTTAGACGGTTTGAAGATTTCATCGTCTTTATATTTTTCTCTAAATATTCATCCTGCTTTTGTCTGTGCAAAGCATTTGGTGAACGTTTGTCCTAATTTTTTTTTTATACACTAAAAGTATTTTTTAATCCCGATTAATATCAGTGTTAAGTTACCGAGTTTAAGGACAAATAACAGTTAATTCGAGTACCGTAATAGAGTAGTTTCCAAATTAATATTTCAAGAAATTCTTCGCATGTCCGCAAAAAATAATTAACTTAAATTTCTAGCTCATACAACACAAATGTTACTACCGAATGACATATGATACGTGCTACTAAATTAAATGTTTAACAATTCTAATCCAATGCATCATCTTAAAGTAAACATATATTGTCCAATAAACAAATCTCCATTCAGTAACTATTTGTCAACTAACTTTTACAACACCTCTTTTCGCGGTTCAGTAACAGTTAGATTGTTATCACAGTTAATGTTCATACCTAGTTAATAGGTTTTTTATTTGTTACATTTCTATTGCCTTACCTACATTGACGGGGTTTACTTTACTTGTTACTTTTATGTAGCCCAGCCCCTCAGTAGCAATAATCATTGTATTGATCTTCTCCAAGCATAAATGAGACCTACAATTACGTTCATGTAACACTGCCCTCTAGAGACCATTAACCGTTATAATCATACAGTTCAAACATATATAACAAAGATATAGTCATAAATCACAAAAATAAAAATGTGTGTGCTATTCAAAATTATTTTGTCTCCAAAAATTGGAAATAAGAAAATATAAAATGAAGTTAAAAGTTGAAGTTAGGGAGCTACCATTTGATTTTTATGGGGGGGCTAGGATGAAAAATGTTGTCCTGCCTTTTTATTTTTCCCTCTATTCGGTCCTGCCTTTTTATTTTTCACTCTATTCGGTCCTGCCTTTTTTTTTTAGTTTATCCTGACTTTTTTTTTTACATAAATTGTCATCCTGCCTTTTTTTTTTGCAAATAATCTCATCCTGCCTTTTTTTTTACTCAAAACTCCTGTCCTGCCTATTTTTTTCAAATTTCATCCTAGCCCCCCCCCCCATAAAAATCAAATGGTAGCTCCCTTAAAGGTCAACACATGAAAAAAATAACATAGTTTGTATACTAGTATATTTAATTATAAATACCATCTGTTCCATATGATATTTAAGAAATATGGGGTGAATTTTTTCGTTTGAATCTTATAATGATGTATTTCCCATTTTTTTAACTGTTGGGAAATTGAATATGAAGTTTAAAATCATAAATATTTGACTGACACATAAAACGTTACATAGGAATCGAATTACGTACATGATGTGATGTTACACTATTGTTTCAGATAATGGTGAAGGTTTGGTACCATTAAAACGTTTAAACCCGCTGCAATTGTTTGCACCTGTCCTAAGTCCGGAATCTGATGTTCATTATTGTCGTTTGTTGATGTGGTTCATCAGTGTTTCTCGTTTCTGGTTTTTTATATAGATTAGACCGATGGTTTTCCCGATTGAATGCTTTTACACTTGTAATTTTTGGGGCCCTTTATAGCTTGCTGTTCGGTGTGAGCCAAGGCTCCGTGTTGAAGACCGTACTTTGACCTATATTGGTTTACTTTTATAAATTTTGACTTGGATGGAGAGTTGTCTCATTTGCACTCATACCACATCTTCTTATATCTATGAACAAGTAACTCTTTGTTTAATACGCAAGCAATTTAGATAAATAAAGCATCCCCTTTTTTGAAGATCGAACACTTCACTGCAAACAGTGTTGTTTTAGAAATTCATCCCTATATTTCTCGCAACCAAAAATTGGAAACACAAAAATATAAAATGAAGTTAGAGTTGATTTTAAAGGTCAACACATGAAAAAATAACATAGTTTGTATATATTTAATTATCAATACCATCTGTTCCCGGTATTTGGTAGGGTTCGTGTTGCTCGGTCTTTAGTTTTCTATGTTGCGTTTTGTGCACTGTTGTTTGTCTGTTTCTCTCTTTTTTTCTTTTTTATCCATGGCGTTGTCAGTTTATTTTCGACATATGAGTTTGAATGTCCCTTTGGTATCTTCCACCTCTCTTTTACCATAGAGTGGGGATATATTGCATTCAACTTGTCAAAAATATTTCCATCACACTTATTTAACTTATGTCGAAAGGTTGCTGTATAGCTTGTGTATACCCAATATCCATTTATCAAAATACATATATGTCGATATAACGAGCAAACATTGAATAAATGCATTGGTTTGAGTACATATGATGCGTTGTCCAGACACTTATTTTCCTCGTACTAATCAATCTAAATATACAGTGTATTACCATTGGCTTCATTGTGCACCTTCTTTTGTATTTGCGTATTGGTCGTCGGCTAAACACGCTGGTTTCATGCCAAAAACCAACAACCCTCGGGAATATGACTGCGCGATTTGATATTGTTTAAATTCATAATATCTTGTTACGGCCTACATAGAACAAGGTTGGTCTATATTTGCATCACTCTCTGAAGGTCAAGTTGTCTTCGTCAAGTACTCTAGTATTCTAAATAGTCAAATTACCAGCGTGGCAATATACTCTATACTGGTTTATAAAAAAAATGAATCAATCCAACGCTTTTGTCCATTTATTGAGGTACAACTAGACCCTTCCATTACATACAATTCTAAAGAAAACGAGACAGAACAAATGAACTGTTGAGAAACAGATAAATTTTCAAAATCACCATTGTTCTTTGTATTTGCTAAATCCTCGGAGCTTCCGTCCACGAGGCCCCCTACTAGGGCACTGCCCTGGACCTTCTGAGAGCCTTTAGCGTCCCCAGACCCCCCATCGACAAAATCGTGTGCATTGCACACAGAACCTAGCGACGTCACTATAAAGGACAAAATGAATTAGACCATATGCTCATGATAAAAGGAACCACAGTGACCAATAGCTGTTCATATTTTAGACTTAAATGGAAATCCATGTTTCATTAACCATCATACCATAATTCCTTATTTTTAAATCATTAAGGTATTCAGAAGATCACGACATCTTAATCATAACATTTGATGACAAGAGCTGAAGCATTGTATAAAAATATCTAATACAATGCCACTTTTAACTAAATCACTTCTTCTGTCGATTCTAGGGTTGTGTATGGAGTCATCGCTGACAACATTTTGCAACGGTAGTCTAGGTTCCATGGATATTTCAAACATTTTGATTATTTAACTAGTATTGTATAAGAATAGAAATAACAGAATTGTGTTTGATAAGTTACCAACTATCAATTTAGGATTTGACTGGTAACTATCTATTCTACCAGCTGTGCACAGCATAGCCTGGAAAACTTACATTGGGACTTTTTCAGATCCTTAATGGATAGAAGCAAGTCTTCAAAAACAGGTGCTTTATTCTTCAGGTATAGTCAAATAGTATTGTTTTAATATGCTCCATAGCTCAACCTGTATTTCATCCTCCATGACACTGTAAAGATTTGGGAAAGTGAGATTTTAACCAACATAAGGATATAAAAAAAATCAAATGTAAAATTTTACAGTCAACTCTAGTAGCTAAGCTTACTACCAAGACTATAAGTCTGCAACTACAAAGTGGTAGAAATCTTTATCAAAATAATTATTAAAATGAGCAAAATATGAATTCATATAGAAGCAGCTAATATTTCATGTGTTTCAAACCTATTTATGAGCTTTTTTTTGGTAAATTGAAATGAGGAAAAAAACATTCACTATGTCTCATCTATTTTTTTTTAAACTAGCCAACATTAGTTATACATTTGACTGAATGGAAGAACTGTGTATTACTCAGGAAAAATTGCTTAGAATTTCCCTTGTTTTAATCAATAATATCCTGCAATGGTATTCCCTATTCCTTCTTTAATGTTTTGTTTATGTGCTGTTTTAATCAATGATATCCTGCAATGGTATTCTCTATTCCTTCTTTAATGTTTTGTTTATGTGCTGTTTTGATCAATGATATCCTGCAATGGTATTCCCTATTCCTTCTTTAATGTTTTGTTTATGTGCTGTTTTGATCAATGATATCCTGGAATGGTATATTTCCTATTCCTTCTTTAATGTTTTGTTTATGTGCTGTTTAAATCAAAAATTCGTAAGGGCTCCTATTTATGAGCTTTTTTTTTGGTAAATTGAAATGAGGAAAATAACATTTACTATGTCTCATCTATTTTTTTTTAAACTAGCCAACATTAGTTATACATTTGAATGAATGGAAGAACTGTGTATTATTCAGGAAAAATTGATTAGAATTTCCCTTGTTTTAATCAATAATATCCTGCAATGGTAGTCCCTATTCCTTCTTTAATGTTTTGTTTATGTGCTGTTTTAATCAATGATATCCTGCAATGGTATTCCCTATTCCTTCTTTAATGTTTTGTTTATGTGCTGTTTTAATCAATGATATCCTGCAATGGTAGTCCCTATTCCTTCTTTAATGTTTTGTTTATGTGCTGTTTTAATCAATGATATCCTGCAATGGTATTCCCTATTCCTTCTTTAATGTTTTGTTTATGTGCTGTTTTAATCAATGATATCCTGCAATGGTATATTCCCTATTCCTTCTTTAATGTTTTGTTTATGTGCTGTTTTAATCAATGATATCCTGCAATGGTATTCCCTATTCCTTCTTTAATGTTTTGTTTATGTGCTTTTAATGTTTTGTTTATGTGCTGTTTTAATCTATGATATCATGCAATGGTATTATCTATTTCTTCTTTAATGTTTTGTTTATGTGCTGTTTTAATCAATGATATCATGCAATGGTAGTCCCTATTCCTGCTTTAATGTTTTGTGTATGTGCTGTTTTAATCAATGATATCATGCAATGGTATTCCCTATTCCTTCTTTAATGTTTTGTTTATGTGCTTTTAATGTTTTGTTTATGTGCTGTTTTAATCTATGATATCATGCAATGGTATTATCTATTTCTTCTTTAATGTTTTGTTAATGTGCTGTTTTAATCTATGATATCCTGCAATGGTATTCCCTATTCCTTCTTTAATGTTTTGTTTATGTGCTGTTTTAATCAATGATATCCTGCAATGGTATTCCCTATTCCTTCTTTAATGTTTTGTTTATGTGCTGTTTTAATCAATGATATCCTGCAATGGTATTCTCTATTCCTTCTTTAATGTTTTGTTTATGTGCTGTTTTAATCTATGATATCATGCAATGGTATTCCCTATTCCTTCGTTACTGTTTTGTTTATGTGCTGTTTTAATCAATGATATCCTGCAATGGTATTCCCTATTCCTTCTTTAATGTTTTGTTTATGTGCTTTTAATGTTTTGTTTATGTGCTGTTTTAATCTATGATATCATGCAATGGTATTATCTATTCCTTCTTTAATGTTTTGTTTATGTGCTGTTTTAATCAATGATATCCTGCAATGGTATTCTCTATTCCTTCTTTAATGTTTTGTTTATGTGCTGTTTTAATCTATGATATCATGCAATGGTATTCCCTATTCCTTCGTTACTGTTTTGTTTATGTGCTGTTTTAATCAATGATATCCTGCAATGGTATTCCCTATTCCTTCTTTAATGTTTTGTTTATGTGCTTTTAATGTTTTGTTTATGTGCTGTTTTAATCTATGAAATCCTGCAATGGTATTCCCTATTCCTTCTTTAATGTTTTGTGTATGTGCTGATTGTTCTGGATTATTCATTTCTGTCAGCTATAAAAATTCTTTCTTGAATTTTGTTTTGAAGGTTTTTTTTATGATCTTGGAGAATTTCTTTTCAGACTAACACTGAATAAAGAATTTGTTTCAGATTTTATTAGCATTATCATATAATTAAAATTGCCAAAAGTAACACATTTCTTTGAAAATTTAGTGGGGGATCCAGGGGTGGGGGTGTGTTTAAAAAAAATGTCCAAAATTTTTTGCTATATCTACAATTATAGGGAATTACTACCCCCATTCAAAAATCCTGGATCCACCCCTGTAATTGAAACTAATCTTGTAGAAGGGAGCAATCATAAAAACATGTAATTCATACAATGGTTCTTTATTCTTATTTCAGATAATGCACATATGTGTACATTGGCAATTTTAACTCATGTAATTTTCAGCTGATCTCTTTTACATATTAATTCAATGTGGATTTTATTTCACACATGAGATAATTAATGAAAGTTATATAAAATATTTCATATAATGTTAAATTCCTATGTTAGTAAACGAATGAACAGATTTCTACTGTTTAATAAACAGATCAAATAAAACCAAATTATTATTTAAAATTTTTGATTTGGAAGTCAGGTAAATGCTCACTTTTGATAAAAGCATGCAATTTTCATATAATAAAAAAGAATGTGTCCATAGTACACGGATGCCCCACTCACACTATCATATTCTATGTTCAGTGGACCGTGAAATTGGGGTCAAAACTCTAATTTGGCATTAAAATTAGAAAGATCATATCATAGAGAACATGTGTATGTTGATTGGACCTCAACTTCATCAGAAACTACCTTGACCAAAAACTTTAACCGGAAGAGGCACAGAAGGACAGACGAATGAACGGACGAATGGATGGATGAACGAACGGATGCACAGACTGAAAAACATAATGCTCCTAGGTGGGGCATAACAATTGTATGTGATACAAATAATGATCATTTCATATACATAGTATGATGGCATGAGTAATTTTACCTTCTACTGAATGTTTTATTCTTATCTTTAAATATTTTATAATTTATTATCGTAAAACTAAGGTATGTTTTTTTGAATTTTAATAATCTGATAATCTGATAAGCTTAATAAAACAAACAACAATATTTGATCTATCAAAAATCAACAAATTTATAAAAACAATATCTAAATCCGAAACTATAAATATTAATATTACATTGCTATAATAACAATTATCTGATTAAAGTTTTCACAGAGTAATTAATCATGTTCTTATGTATATACTCTCAAATATTCTCATATGAATTTAAGGTTAACAATGAAATATTTGAGATTTGGAAAATTCAGTTTAATTGGATAATAGCTGTAAAAATGTTTCTTTGGTTATACAAAAAGGGTACAGGGTTTCTTAGAATTATGGTCAAATATATTTGTTTTATATCAAGCATTTCTGGTATTTTTTTTTACTTTCAAATGATACCAATATATATATATTATATAAGAAATCAAGAAATTAAATTTGGAATTCTGAAATCTTATAAAAATATACACAAGACAATTACTCTCTAATCGAATCAAAATGTTGTTATTTTTAGCATAAACTAATAACCATCAATTCATGCAAACAACTACAGAACTATGATTTATTACATATATTATACTAAAGTCAAAAATACCTAAAAAGTACAAAAAAATCCCAAAAATGAAAAATTAAAAAAAAAACAAAAGAAAGGCAAACTAAAGAAGAGCAAAATTTTAATCTAAAAGGTTCGCTGGTGTAAATGTATGAAATGTGTAGTGAAAACATTACTTTTAACTATGTATATATATATATGTATACGAATTGATATAAACAAATGTGATATGCTTAAGAAAGCGTTATAAATTCTATATACATGTACTAAAAAGAATGTGAACAAATGATTAATAAGATACAAAAAAAAAAACACATTTCTCACAGATAATAGTTAGAGATTTCTTTACCAAGGTAACTGTGATCTAATATGTTAAGACCTGTCCGTGAATTATTCAAATAATCAGAATCCAAAGTTAAAATCTGATTTTAAGTTTCTTTAATCAAAACAGTCATGTAAAGACATCTTTAACTATTCACAATCACAATATTTTCAGACCCCCTCCCCCCTTTTTGTACTATGTTTTATACAAAGATGGTATCAGCAGTCAATGTTTTCAATTACCAATGAGTATTAAGTGAACCAAGTCAATACAGATACAACACTCCCTCAGTATCATGTAATCAATAAATATCCACATAATTTACTGTGTTTGTTTTATGAAAGGAATACTATGTCATAAAACTGAGTTGTACTAGCAAGTATTTATGGTTTGAAGTAGTGAAAAAGAGGTTACCCTTCCTTTCAGCATGAATCAATATGTATAATGGAAGAAAAATCGAGTTATACAATATTAGTGTTGTAAAAAAAAAAAAAAAATTTCACATTTTAAAATAATTTGCACCTTTCTGGTGAATTAGAAGTTATCCACACTCATACTTGCGTAATTAACCTCTGTAAAAAATAAAGCAAAATCCACATTTCTCTGAGTGAAACTTTGTAATAGAACAATCAAACTTCATAAATGTTTACAGCCAAGTGAAAATTATAGGGTCATGTCAAAATTCTCTTCATGTCACTGCAAGGCAAGAATCTTCACCTGTCCACAGATTGTGTAACACAAGAGTAAATCTTAATATATACAATATCTTCATACTGTTAAGGTTTTGTAATGAACATTGGCACATATGATTATTAAAATGGTTTTTACTATTTTGTCATACAAACAATCAATATCATATTTTTCATTAGACAAAAACAAAAACCACATAACTGGCACATACTTTTAATACATGGAAATATGAATTATCATTTCTGACTTCTGATAAACATTTTTGCAACTGAAACATATGCAAATGGGTATTACTGAATAAAAACTTAAATAACTAAGATCAACCTATTGTTTCTAAACTATACATAAGCTGAACTGATTTGTGCTGGTATTATTTTTACCAACACATTAAATCATAGTATAACTGAATTTATTTCGACAACACAAGAGACTTTAAGAACATTTAATTCTTTGTAGCATAACTTATATTTTGAGGAACCCTATATACCTATCACTAATTACTTGTTTTAAGATTTTCTATGGTCCTACAAAATTTTCAATGAATCAAAAGTTTCACTGTTGATAAAAACTATTTCAAATGTAATAAATATCTGGCTGATATACATTGTAAATATCAAATTCTAATAGTCAAAATACATAAAAAGAAAGATATACTAAATACATATAGTATGTGGTATTATAATATCATTAAACTTTACCCTCTTATAAAAAACTATTTTGAGGATTATTTTCTATAACTATTACACTCTATTACACCACCACAAGAATAAACAGCTGCCCCATGAGCGCATGATACGCCCGTCATCTTGTGTGTGAATTTTTATGTAATAAGCATAAATAGTTTCTGACATACAGCGTGACATGCAAACCCCTTTTTTTTTTACAAAAAACTCAATATCTCTAAAATAAAATTTTGAATCAAAACCAAAAATTATACAGATCTTTAGATTAATATAACAAAGAAGTGTGTAAAATTTTAAGCAATAATCATAAATCGTTTTTGAGATACGGCGCGACATGTGAAAAACCCCTCCCCCTTTTTTAACAAAATACTCAATATCTCTAAAATAAAACTTTGAATCATCACCAAAATGTATACAGATCTTAAGAATCATATAACTAAGAAGTGTGTAAAGTTTTAAGCAATAATCATAAATTATTTTTGAGATACGGCGCGACATGTGAAAAAAAACACACACCTGTTTTAGTTACTAAGTCTCGTAACTCAAAAGGTTTTGATCTTATTTTCACCAAAAAGTATACAGATCGTTTGACCATCATAAGAAACAACTATGTAAAGTTTCATGAAATTTGGATAAGTCATTATCAAGTTACGGTGCAACATGTTTACGCCAGACAGACAGACGGACAGATGGACGGACACCGGACATTTGTATACCATAATGCGTCCCGTCAAAAATTGACGGGCGTATAAAAATGAGCAATCTAACATGGAATAGTTTTCAGACAGACATATAATAGTAAGTAATATATTTTGAACATGTATACAAATGATTTATTCCCTGTAACTTGATGATTCAGCAGTCAATATATCATATAATATCTGATCAGGTTTTTTTATAAATTTATATGAATATGTTTAAACTGCTTTCTTTATTTCAAATGGTTTATGCTAAATATTATATTTGAGAAGCAAATTAAGAGCTAACCCTCAATTATATGCAGAGATATGTCATATTCATTTGACTTTATCCAACCATGATTGATTGATTGATTACTGGTGTTTAACGCCACCTTTAGCCCACTTGGATATATCATGGAGGCCATCAGAGTAATCGGAAAGAACCATTAATTTTTCCAACCATACATAAAAAATCCTATATGTAATAAAAGTGCCATAACTTCGGCAACCCCAAACAACACAATCATACTTTCTTTTTGTAAGAAAGGGACATAACTCTTCAGAGTGTATTCTTGACTCCACTATATCCGAACCATAACCTGTATTCTACATTTCATGATGCAAACAAGAGATGGCCTGGAGATATTTCAGTTCATATCATCATTAAGTAAAAATGTGATAGACTAACAGAGAAGACGACAATAAATAAATCTTCTTTTTTTTTAAAGTGGTTGAACAAATAAAGTTTTAAGGTTTAAAAAAATGTATGAAAGACCTAAGAAGGAAGAAAAACACTGAATGAAATAAATTGTAAATTAGTAATAAATAAATTATGATAATGAGTAAGTTGAATATTCATCATGATAATGATAAGCCATATATAAACATGTGCCACATGATAACAGATTATAAATGTCACATGATAACAGACTATAAATGTCACATGATCACCAGCTTGCATCTATTCTCTTTGCTGCTTCTTGTAAAAATGATTTATGGCTAGCATACAGGTTTATAGCACTATTACAATCCATCCATTGAACAGCCATTGCATCATCCCCTAAAATAGAAATGTCCCATGTTACTTTCCATAATAATAAAAACAGGTTTTGGTAATTCATCTTAAAAAGACAGCAGGCATAATAAAATTAAAATTCTTAAAATTGGAGGGAAAAAAAGATTAATATACAAATTGTACAAAGATGTTAAATTATGTGTTAAGTATAGTTTGGTAAGAATATTAGAGTATGGAAAAGTACGCATAATTTTATCTTTTATTGTGAGTTAGGAAGGTTTCCTATTGAAATATTCGTATAGATGAGAATGGTTATAGACCTTATCGCTATTTTGAAATCAGCGCTGGTTGACCCGAGAATCTGCGCCACTTGAACTTTTTGACATCATACAACAATCACTTTTCCATTGTGGCTTCAGATATTTTCTATTCTGACGTCAAAATTTTACGGGAACCTTTGTAATGTCCAGTAATGGGGGACAAATAGCGATAAGGTGTATGCATGTTTCATGTTTCATATTTTATGTTATTTGGTGACTACCTCAATGATGTTTATATTACTACTAGTTGATTACTGTAAATTCAGAAATTATTGTTAGATTTTTATTTTTTGCAAATAATGCAACTAGGTGAAAATTGCAAAAATGTGCATTCTGATATATCTGGTACAAAAATTTGTATGATACATTTCCTGAAATTACAATAATTAATCTCTCATTTTTGGTCAGTCTTCAAAAATCGCAAATATAAAAGTACACAATAATTTCTGAATTTACAGTAAACTGCCAAATTCTTAATCTCATATATTTACCTGCATGTAAATTAAACTGTCCTACTTTGGTGCCATCATGGTCATGGAAATGATATGCTGTAGTTTCCATCCAGGCGTTGTCTGTATTTCTAGGGTCATCTACATAACCCTCGTAAACCTGAAACAGAGAATTGGTAGAATTATAACCCATTGGCTCTAGATGCTCATTATTCGTGTAAACTTAAATTATGGTCACACATTAGATGTCTTTCGTGTCTTTGGATTGCTGTCTTCTAGAATGAACAAATCATCTTAACCGTCTCCAAAAATTTACTTATACATTTATATTTTTTACAACCTCTAAAATTCTTAAATTTTGAGAGGTCAAAACATGCCTTAATAATATTGTTCTGGTTTGCTAATACTTTTAAAATTAAATTCAACCTTTTATTTCAAAACTTACACAAAGAAATCTTACTAGTCACAAATGTTAAGTAACTGTGGATGCCTTAAAAATTGCTCCCTTGAGACTTGTAAATGAGAAGTATTTTGAAGAGTACAGAAAAATGAGATTTAAATTGTACATGAAATTATACTTACAGAACGGTACGTTAGAAAAGACAACTATTAATAACAGACAATTAAAAACATTATTAGAGCAATTATGTCAAGTGAAATTCAAGAAAAGAAGACTTTTTTTCTTATAATATTTACTAAAGTAAAATAAAATGTCCAAGAGATGTAACTCTACCTCCAAAATAATTACCTGTACCAGTAAAAAAAAAAACAAAAAAAACCACTTGTATAAGTACCATCCCTGACTGACTGTTTCTTAAATGTATAACTCCTGACAGGCTGTTTGTACAACAATCACCCACATCCATATAGTTAACATACAAATCAAGGGCAACAATCACCCACATCCATACAGTTAACATACAAATCAAGGGCAACAATCACCCACATCCATATAGTTAACATACAAATCAAGGGCAACAATCACCCCCATCCATACAGTTAACATACAAATCAAGGGCAACAATCACCCACATCCATACAGTTAACATTCAAATCAAGGGCAACAATCACCCACATCCATACAGTTAACATACAAATCAAAAGCAACAATCATCCCATCCATAGTTAACATACAAATCAAGGGCAACAATCACCCACATCCATACAGTTAACATACAAATCAAGGGCAACAATCACCCACATACATACAGTTAACATACAAATCAAGGGCAACAATCACCCACATCCATATAGTTAACATACAAATCAGGGGCAACTATCACCCACAACCATACAGTTAACATACAAATCAAGGGCAACAATCTACCCGTCCATATAGTTAACATTCAAATCAAGGGCAACAATCACCCACATCCATATAGTTAACTTACAAATCAGGGGCAACAATCACCCCATCCATATAGTTAACATACAAATCAAGGGCAACAATCACCCACATCCATACAGTTAACATACAAATCAGGGGCAACAATCACCCACATCCATACAGTTAACATACAAATCAAGGGCAACAATCACCCACATCCATAGTTAACATACAAATCAGGGGAAACAATCACCCACATCCATACAGTTAACATACAAATCAAGGGTAACAATCACCCACATCCATACAGTTAAAATACAAATCAAGGGAAACAATCAACCACATCCATACAGTTAACATACAAATCAGGGGCAACAATCACCCACATCCATATAGTTAACATACAAATCAAGGGCAACAATCACCCACATCCATATAGTTAACATACAAATCAGGGGCAACAATCACCCACATCCATATAGTTAACATACAAATCAAGGGCAACAATCACCCAATCCATATAGTAAACATACAAATTAAGGGCAACAATCACCCACATCCATACAGTTTACATACAAATCAGGGGCAACAATCACCCCATCCATATAGTTAACATACAAATCAAGGGCAACAATCACCCAATCCATATACAATGTAGTAAACATACAAATCAGGGGCAACAATCACCCCATCCATACAGTTAACATACAAATCAGGGGCAACAATCACCCCATCCATATAGTTAACATACAAATCAGGGGTAACAATCATCTACATCCATACAGTTAACATACAAATCAGGGGCAACAATCACCCACATCCATACAGTTAACATACAAATCAACGGCAACAATTACATTAGATGGTAAACTCTGTTTTTCATACAGATCTTTAGAGTGACAATTGCATTGTTTATAATATTCTTCTGTTGATAAGTGGATCAAACTTTTAATTTTGACTCAAGAAAAAGACTGCAACCCCTCAAGGCAAGGTTTGACGGTTCATGTCCTTTTTAATCACAAAACTATCTAAGTATTTATACATCTTTTAGTTTCCTAACATTTTGCTCTGAGTGTTCCCCATGTCCCTTATGATGGTAATAAAGAAAACAAATGATGCACATTTCACGTTTACTTCTGGTATGCATAGTGTAGACCCCAAGGGTCTGGAAACGGTCATATTTGCCAGTCATGTCCTAAACTGAAAGTATTTGTCCTAAATGAGTAATTGGGATTTAGGACAAATTTCATTTTTTAACAGAAATAATTTCGGTCATTTCATTGACTCAATGTTTGAAATCGGATTTCTTAATCGCCATTTTGCACTTGTGATCACTTGTTATACGACCGCAAAAATTGAAAATTTTTTGGTCGTATATTGGTATGACGTTGGCGTCGTCGTCGTCGTCGTCCGGCGTCGTCTGGCGTCGTCCGAAGACACATTGGTTTTCGCACTCTAACTTTAGTTTAAGTGAATGGATCTCCATGAAATTTTACCATAAGGTTCAATACCATGAAAGGAAGGTTGGGATTGATTTTGGGGGTTATGGTACCAACAGTTAAGGAATTAGGGGCCAAAAAGGGGCCAACAATAAGCATTTTTGTAACTTCCAGACAATAACTTGTGTGTAAGTGTATGGATCTCTCTGAAATTGTACCACAAGGTTCCATATCACAAAGGGAAGGCTGTAATTGATTTTGGGGGTAATTGCCTCAAAATGTTAGGAATTAGGGGCCAAAAAAGGGCCAAAAAACAAGCATTTTTCTAGTTTCATGACAATAACTTGTGTGTAAGTGTTTGGATATTTCTGAAATTGTACTACAAGGTTCCATATCACAAAGGGAAAGCTGGAATTGAGTTTGGGGGTAATTGCCGAAACGTTTAGGAATTGGGGGCCAAAAAGGGGCCAAAAATAAGCATTTTTCTAGTTTCCAGACAATAACTTGTGTTCAAGTGTATGGATCTCTCTGAAATTGTACTGCAAGGTACCATACCACAAAGGGAAGGCTGAGATTGAGTTTGGGGGTGATGAATCATAAGGGGGTTCAAAAAATTTGGGGGGGGATTTTTTTTTTTCTTTTTTTTTTCTTTTTTTCCTTTTTTTTTCTTTTAAAATTTTCCATTTTAAGTTGGTTATTTCTGATTTATATTTAAAAGCAAATAATAATGATATGGTAGGAGATACACACCAAACAGGATGTGTAAATTATTATATAATAAGTATTGTGCAATAGCAAGAAATTTTCAATTGCACAGTATTGCACAATAGCAAGAAATCTTCAATTGCACAGTATTGCGCAATAGCAAGAAATCTTCAATTGCACAGTATTGCGCAATAGCAAGAAATATCCAATAGCACAATATTGCGCAATAGCAAGAAATTGTCAATTGTACAGTATTGCGCAATAGCAAGAAATAATCAATTGCACAGTATTGTGCAAAAGAAGATACTTCGTATAAATTGCTTATTTCTTGATCAATTTCAATGGGGTTTTATTCTTGAATTCTTGGGGTTCTTTAATATGCTGAATCTAACCGTGTATTAAGTTTTTGGATTTTGGGCCCCGTTTTTAAATTGGTCCACATTGAGGTCCAAAGGGTCCAAAATTTTACTTTGTTTGATTTCATCAAAAATTGAATTATTGGGGTTCTTTGATATGCCGAATCTAACCGTGTATTTAGATTCTTAATTTTTGGTTCTGTTTTCAAATTGGTCTACATAAAGGTCCAAAGGGTCCAAAATTAAACTTAGTTTGATTTCAACAAAAATTGAATATATGGGGTTCTTTGATATGCTGAATCTAACCATGTATTTAGATTTTTGATTATGGGCCCAGTTTTCGAGTTGGTCCAAATCGGGGTCCAAAATTAAACTTTGTTTGATTTCAACAAAAATTGAATATATGGGGTTCTTTGATATGCTGAATCTAACCATGTATTTAGATTTTTGATTATGGGCCCAGTTTTCAAGTTGGTCCAAATCGGGTCCAAAATTAAACTTTGTTTGATTTCAACAAAAATTGAATATATGGGGTTCTTTGATATGCTGAATCTAACCATGTATTTAGATTTTTGATTGTTGGGCCCCGTTATCAACTTTGTCCACATTGAGATCAAAAGGGTCCAAAATTAAACTTTGTTTGATTTCATCAAAAATTGAATATATGGGGTTCTTTGATATGCTGAATCTAACCATGTATTTAGATTTTTGATTATGGGCCCAGTTTTCAAGTTGGTCCAAATCGGGGTCCAAAATTAAACTTTGTTTGATTTCAACAAAAATTGAATATATGGGGTTCTTTGATATGCTGAATCTAACCATGTATTTAGATTTTTGATTATGGGCCCAGTTTTCAAGTTGGTCCAAATCGGGGTCCAAAATTAAACTTTGTTTGATTTCAACAAAAATTGAATATATGGGGTTCTTTGATATGCTGAATCTAACCATGTATTTAGATTTTTGATTGTTAGGCCCCGTTATCAACTTTGTCCACATTGAGATCAAAAGGGTCCAAAATTAAACTTTGTTTGATTTCATCAAAAATTGAATATATGGGGTTCTTTGATATGCTGAATCTAACCATGTATTTAGATTTTTGATTATGGGCCCAGTTTTCAAGTTGGTCCAAATCGGGGTCCAAAATTAAACTTTGTTTGATTTCAACAAAAATTGAATATATGGGGTTCTTTGATATGCTGAATCTAACCATGTATTTAGATTTTTGATTATGGGCCCAGTTTTCAAGTTGGTCCAAATCGGGGTCCAAAATTAAACTTTGTTTGATTTCAACAAAAATTGAATATATGGGGTTCTGTAATATGCTGAATCTAACCGTGTATTAAGTTTTTGGATTTTGGGCCCCGTTTTTAAATTGGTCCACATTGAAGTCCAAAGGGTCCAAAATTTAACTTTGTTTGATTTCATCAAAAATTGAATTATTGGGGTTCTTTGATATGCCGAATCTAACCGTGTATTTAGATTCTTAATTTTTGGTTCCGTTTTCAAATTGGTCTACATAAAGGTCCAAAGGGTCCAAAATTAAACTTAGTTTGATTTTAACAAAAATTGAATTTTTAGGGTTCTTTGATATGCTGAATCTAAACATGTATTTAGATTTTTGATTATGGGCCCAGTTTTCAAGTTGGTCCAAATCGGGGTCCAAAATTAAACTTTGTTTGATTTCAACAAAAATTGAAAATATGGGGTTCTTTGATATGCTGAATCTAACCATGTATTTAGATTTTTGATTTTTGGGCCCTGTTATCATTTTTGTCCACATTGAGATCAAAAGGGTCAAAAATTAAACTTTGTTTGATTTCATCAAAAATTGAATTCTTGGGGTTCTTTGATATGCTGAATCTAACCATGTATTTAGATTTTGGATATTGGACCATAATAGGTGAATGTCCAATTTAAAATTTTTAAGTTCTTAGACCACATTCATTCTGTGTCAGAAACCTATGCTGTGTCAAATATTTAATCACAATCCAAATTCAGAGCTGTATCAAGCTTGAATGTTGTGTCCATACTTGCCCCAACTGTTCAGGGTTCGACCTCTGCGGTCGTATCAAGCTGCGCCCTGCGGAGCATTTTATTTTTGTTTATAATCCCTTTCCTGTAAAATAACTGCCACTCCTGTATAGTTTGATAATCCTGAGGGCCCTCCTAATAACTATATCAATGCCTCCGGGAAACATTGGCTAATGATCACTAATTACTTTTTACCTGAGTTTATAATTCACACCTGACATTGATCACAAGCTCAGAATAATATCTTAAAGAAATTAAAATTCCCTGACAAGTGTATTCATTATTTAATTACTTTTCAGCAAAGACAATCATCAATTCTGATTTAAAATTAAACCTTAATTTTATATAAGAAGAAAAAAGTATTTTTTTCACGAGTATCACATGTGCTTTATTTACTATGCAAATTGATTTCATGCTAAAGTAAACTATTAACTGTTATATTCAAACACTTTTAAAGGTAATAAAATTAAAAAGCCGGTGATTTCCTGTCAATTTCATAAACAAAACTCCTTGGTAGACCCTTCTTGAAAAAATAAATTTGTCTGGTTTTTCATATGAAATGAATAGGAAGAAATTGATTTTTAACTGTACATAAAATATGTTAAAAATTACAAGACTTTCGAAATATTTTACCAGAAGTCTGAACAAAAAGGTGAGGAAAAACTAGGGCTACAGAGGAATTTATAAAATGCATAGCCTTTTAAAGAAAAAGAGAGTGGGTTACAAACATTCAGACAAATTTAGGGTGAGCTTCAAACAGGTAATGAAGATGCTAATATGTGATAATAAACTGCTTCGCTGAGCGCAGCTGTCACCCGCAGAGGTCCAACCCTCAACAGTTGGGGCAAAAATGGACACAATATTCAAGCTTGATACAGGTCTGAATTTGGATTGTAATTAAATATTTGACATATTATAGGTTTCTGAATAAAAGAAGTCAAAGAACTTGAAATTGGTTATATGAATTGAATTTATATTCAATTAAAGATTTCTTGCTGTTGTGCAATACACTATGCTGTTGCGCAATACTTAGTCAATCTGTTGTCAGACTATAAAAAATAAAATTTATAAAATTCTAAAGGGAGCTTACAGCAATAGATATAAACAATTCACCAAAGTTTCATAAGAATTGCTGAAAGCATTTTTTAGTTATTGTCTGAAAACTGGAAAATCCCCCCTTTTTTAATGAATAAAACCCCATAACTCGGAAATGTAAAATCTAAAATTTATAAAATTCTAAAGGGAGCTTACATCAATAGATATCAACAATTCATCAAAGTTTCATGAGAACTCAGTGTTCTCCCCAGGCCGATATGACGCTGCGGTGCCGCAGTGCCTTCATAATAAATTTGTAGATCCCGCAGCGTCTTAATTGGCCGCTGTCCCTTAATACTTGATCCCGAAGCGTGTTAATTTTCACATTTTCATTATAAATGTTGGTTAAAATTGTCAAGTTACTGATCACCGCGGATGGGTCAGTCAGTGTTACGCAATATAACTGATAATTAGTTTTACCTGAGCCACGCTTATTTCAGCCTAATCGGACTATGTTATCAGGTAATATTGTAAATGATCATCAAGATGATAGATATTTTTTTGAAGAAAATTAAAAATTTTAAAAACTTCAGTGCAGAAATTGAAGAAATAGATCGCAAATACATTGTATTTACGCATCGTGTGTGTGATCACTTGACCACTTATATAACGAATTTTTTCATTGGTCGAGAAGAAGAATCTATTTAAACACGACCAATGAAGTGTTCAATACACATGATAAATTTGAATACACCTTGCTAAAGATATTTACGATGAAAACTATGAATGAAAGTATTAGTAGTTGAAAAAATTAAAATAAAGTTTGATTAAAGATAACGAGGAGTGATTTACTTTAATAGAAAGTGAAAAAATGTTGCTTGCAAGGTAAATTCGTCTGAAACTGTCATATTTTTAGAAATAAAATGATCATTGAACATCGATCGTGAATCCGTGCGTCGGGAAATATGTGACAATCAACACGGGTACAGAATCGCCGCAGCTTCTGTATAATGTCACTGGTAAATAATTTCAATGGTTTTAACTTTCACGAACTTGTAAAGTTTCGTTTATATCTATCTGCCAAAGATAGGATTAAACAATAATACGCACGGAAGCGTAATGTGAAACTACGGAAACTGGTCAGCTGTTCATTTATAAAAAAATTTGTTTTAAAAAGTTGTATACCAAATATCTTAACCATATTCGATTTTATTAATTCTGAATGAACATGTTCTCTGCCAATAACAAAGGGGTAAATTATAAGCAAAAGATAGATGATGGAAGAAGAAGTTTTTTTCAGACCAATGACTTCTAATGAAAAGGGGAATACACCTCCGTCTACACTGTCAGTATAATCAGATTTCATTGCTTCTCCTGATCCCAACCAAGCTTAAGTTTTAGCAATTGATAAAAGCAAGCACCATGTTTCTGGTTTCAATGACAAGTGGCTGACTGAGTTTTCATGGCTTAGAAATGTTAAAGGGGGTATAAGCAAAAGTTATTGTGAGTGGGGGTTTAATTATTAACCCTGAAGAGGATAAAGACAAAGTTGAGGAACAGACTGTCCAACAAAATAACACTATCTTGAAACAATATCCCTAGAAGGAGCAGAGAGTAGAGATGAATATTTATATTTTGACTTCTTTAATTGACTGAATATAAATAACTTTTGTGTTTAAAATCAATTTATTTCATATATATATTCTTGTAATTCATAAATACTCTGCATTATTAAACACATAACACAAAGCATTATAATTCATATTGCATGTCATGATTTATGACTTATTGCTTCAGATCACTCTAAAAAAAGAGTTACGCGCCCTTGAATTTTGCGCCTTAAAAAAATCCTGGGGAGAACTCTGGAACTGCTGAAAGCATTTTTGAGTTATTGTCCGAAAACTAGAAAATCCCCTTTTTTTTTATGAATAAAACCCTGTAGCTTGGAAATGTAAAATATAAAATTTATAAAAATCAAAAGGGAGCTCATGTCAATAGATATAAACAATTTAACCAAAATTTCTTGCAAGTTGGTGAAAGCATTCTTGAGTTATTGTCCGTCTGGAAAATCCCGCTTTTTTTAATGAATAAAACCCCATAACTCGGAAAAGTAATATCTAAATTTATAAAAAACGAAAGGGAGCTCACGTCAATAGATATAAACAGTTATTATGCAAATTGGTTAAAGCATTTTTGAGTTAATGTCCGACATGTTGATGACGGACGGACACCAGTATACCATAATACGTCCCGTAAACGGGCTTATAAAAAGAAATGATCATAGATTGAACATCAATGAAACTAAAAAATGTCAACCTCAATTCCTTTTGTAAAGAACTGTTTCATCGACTCAACAGCTTTGTATTTTTCCTCCTGTGATATTTCCTTTGTACTAAGTGCTTCCTCTCCAAATTCCCTGAGGACCGTGTCAGTGACAACTTCTCCTGCATCAACTTTACCCTAAACAGAAACAATAAATGATGACTAACCTGGTCCCCATTCGATAAGAATTCTTCAATCATAATGTGCATCTCCTTCTTATCGTCTTCTGACATTTCTAATGAATTCAAAGCTTCTTCTCCAAATTCTTGTTTAATTGTAGCACTTACTAAATCTCCAGGATCTACCATACCCTAAACAAAAATTTCCTCTGGTACAAATCTTGCAACATTTTTTAATTACATTGACATTGTTAAGCATTTAAATATAAAACACGAGTGTGTAGTGTGTAAGTTACGAAATATTAAATGATTGAATTATTGCATTTTTCCCTTGGTACATTTATTTAATCAAACACCACATTACCATATTACCCATTTAATGGTGAGTATCACTGTAATCAAATGCAGTATTTGTTTGTTTCTATCATAAACATCATAGATACATGTAATTACTATATCTTTTTCCAACTGCACAAAACTTCATTACTTATAAACGATCATGCTGATGAAGATGATGGTTATAAAGACTACCTCTAAATGCTTTATTTTCAACCAGAGGTATTGTTTAACTGCCCCTTCCATGGTGTTTGTACAGTCTACCCATAGTACACTGTAAAACAAATCCTTATAATGTATTCATCACACAACTAAATCTCCTGGTTCTAGCAAATAAAGTTATCTATATAACATTACAAATATAACATTTCATATCTCCTTGAATTAGACCTCTGGTATATCCCAGTGTTGAATAATAGATTTAACCTACACCGGGAATGGCCCACTCTCCATTATCTCGTCTTTGTACTGATACAAACTGCATGATTGGTTTACCATCTTCTCCTTTCACAATCTGGTCATCATCAGTTCTTTTCCATCTGAAGTTATAGTAAATAATAGATAAACGAAATAATAAATATAGTCAAAACTATTCTTAACAGCATATCACTCTTACAAAATCTGTAGACCAACTTATTGTCTAAGTGCATGTTGGCCTTATCATTGAAGGAGCATTAGCTACGAGATATAAACAAAAATAAAATACGAATTTTTTTTTGTTTAATCATTAATGAAAGTGAAATAATAAATCGCTTTTAGCGGCCAGTTTGGTTCAATTTTGTCAAAATAAGGTAAGAAACATTGCTGATGAATTATTCACTTGCAAGTGAATAAATCGACCTCATTGAATCCGTATTCATGTGAACTTCAATTTAACCCCTTAGCTACATAGGGGTTACACATAATCTAGGCGTGTTCAGCTATTAAAAGGAAAAGAATGTCAACATTGAAAGATTAAGTGAAACAATGTAAACCATTTGATTGACTGATTCAATACACAAAACCTTATTCTTATACAGGTAAAAACGAAGATTAACATATTTATTTAATCTATCATATGAAATCAAACAGACCTAGAAAAATCCAATTGCACATGTTCACGATCTATTTATATCTATATTTATGTTTATATTGGGCTATATGACTGTAGGCAGTCTTAAGAGGTCACCTCAATCATGTCAATGGTTCATTAGATGGTGTATAGATTAAAATACACACGAAACTCTGATACATATTATATAGAGCCCATGCATTGTAAATTGTTTATTTTAGACTTTTTATAAATTGGATATACATTTCAGTATGTTTTAAATCAAATATGAGAATTTTAGTCACTAGTCATTTTGGGGCCCTTTATAGCTTGCTGTTTAGTCAAATGTTGGTCAAATGTTGGTGTGAGCCAATGCTCCTTGTTGAAGGCCGTACTTTGACCTATATTTGTTAACTTTTTATACATTGTGACTTGGGTGGAGAGTTTTCTCATTGACACTCATACCACATCTTCTTATTTATATCTACTTGCTTCCATCAACACGATATTTGATCTATGGTGGATAGCTGTATCATTAGATATCAGGGATCTTCATGGATGAAAATATAACGATGGAGGAGGTTCCATCTCACCAGGACAAAACCCCACGTGAAAATATTTCATTCTTACATTTCATTGCAAGGAACAGTAAATAGACGGATATATACAGATTGTTTATTATATTCATTTCGTTATAGAATATCAAACCAATATTTTCCTTAATTGTCATTTGTAACAATTCCACTGTCCAGCCTGCATGGCTCCTCTTAGTCAAGGATAACCACAATTCACCTGTCCTATTAACCTAGTTAACGTCAAAGTTTTTTCCTGTCAGTAAGTTCCCAGAGTTGTTTTCTCGCTATTTTAGTAATTTTGTTAGGATTTAAAAATGGGAATAATTTTTCTCACTGTCAAACACCCCAGTAGTAATAGTGTCAAATTTAATTCAGAAGTCACAAACCAGGATCAATGATTTGCAGCATCAACAACAAAAAGTTTCGTACCCATTTTTGCAAAACATTGGATACAGATTTGTGGAGGGCAAAAGTTCAAAACTGAAATGACTTTGTGGGAGTTGTCTCATTGGCAATCATAACACATCTTCTTAATAATTGTATTACTAGTAAATGACTTTTAAAAAATTGCAAATTAATAAGTCATAAACCATACAACATGCATCTTTCTATTCTGAATGTAAACGGGATGTATTAATTTAATTGTAAACCCTCAAGGCTTTAAAACAGTAATCAGGAGGATCCTTTGGATTAAAATACAATAGGGGTTCAGCAATTACATGCAATTGATTATAATTGCTAACAAAAATAGGGGCAGCTAGTGAAACGAAAACATATTTTGTTTACACCATTCAATCATAGTGCAGTTATTTAACAATTGCGGGGAGCACATGATGATTGGGGAAGATTATTTAAAGATGGTGGTACATGTACACCATCATAAAACAGGTCATGGAAATGATGGAGATACCTGGGAAATCATACCACATCTTTTCATGTGAAACACTTTCAGAAAAAAATAAAAATCACCTAATTTTTCCTGCAGTAATTTCAATTAAAAGAGTTGCAAGGTCATAATATAGACTTCTTTATATAAAATTGAGAATATAGCTAATTTGAACAGCTGCATCATTATAGGAAAAACAAAGACTGTAATTGTTAAAAGGCCATTACATTTTTGTATACATGCGAGTGGTATACCTTGTGACTATGGGATCAGCTGCATGGTTAGGTCCCCAGCGTCCTAAACAACCTCTGTGCTTTAGACCTGTTCTTCCCACAGGGTTTCTGTAAATCAAATAGCACTTTATAATATACATATACTAAAACAAACTCGCGACATTGTGAGTCCCTGACTGATATTAAGTACCTATGCCTTATTTTTATCATGGATTTTTAGTATTCGTATTGTCATCTTATAAAGTCATTTTGATTATAAGGTGCACAGTTTTCTCTGCTTTCAAAATCTTTCTATTTGAACCTGTCTGGTTTTCTTTCAACAATCAGAAACTACATGTGACATTTACTATACATACTATTGGTTTCAGTATCGGATTTACCTGTAACTTGTTAATTATTGGTAATATTAATTATGTGGAAAACAAAAAGGCCTGGAATACTGTCATTTTTAATCAACACCATTGTCCTATATTAGTTATATATAAAGTTGAATTCTTTGATTCATCGTTTTTATGTCATGCCGGCTAACAAATAGACCTCGTTATTTTAGTAGTATAGATATATGTTGCACAATCAATATGTATATAACTTGATAAAAAGAAAATTAAAATAAAATTTTCAAAATTTTTTTTAACAAATGTGAATAAATGCTCCTCTGGGCGCAGCTTGATACGACCGCAGAGGTCGAACCCTGAACTGTTGGGGCAAGTATGGACACAACATTCAAGTTTGATACAGCACTGAATTTGGATTGTGATTAAATATTTGACACAGCATAGGTTTCTGACACAGAATGAATGTGGTCTAAGAACTAAAAAATTTTTTAATTTACTTATTCAAACCATATCATTATTATTTGCTTTTATATATAAATCAGAAATAACCAATTTAAAATGAAAAATTTTAAAGAAAAAAAATGAAAAAATAAATCCCCCCTCAAATTTTTTGAACCCCTTATGATTCATCACCCCCATACTCAATCCCAGCCTTCCCTTTGTGTTACAATGTATGGTGCCTTGCAGTACAATTTCAGAGAGATACGTACACTTGAACACAAGTTAGTGTCTGGAAACTAGAAAAATGCTTGTTTTTTTGTCCCTTTTTGGCCCCAAATTCCTAAACATTTAGGGCAATTACCCCCAAACTCTAACCCAGCTTTCCCTTTGTGATATGGAACCTTGTTGTACAATTTCATAAAGATCCATACACTTGAACACAAGTAACTGTCCTGAAACTAGAAAAATGCTTGTTTTTTTCCTCTTTTTGGCCCCTAATTCCTAAAAATTTTGAGGCAATTACCCCCAAAATCAATCCCAGCCTTTCCTTTGTGGTATAGTACCTTGCAGTACAATTTCAGAGAGATCCATACACTTGAACACAAGTTATTGTCTGGAAACTAGAAAAATGATTATTTTTGGCCCCTTATTCCTTAACATTTTGGCCAATTACCCCAAAACTCAATTCCAGCTTTCCCGTTGTGATATGGAACCTTGTGGTACAATTTCAGTAAGATCCATACACTTACACACAAGTTATTGTCATGAAACTAGAAAAATGCTTGTTTTTTTGCCCCTTTTTGGCCCCTAATTCCTAAAATTTTGAGGCAATTACCCCCAAAATCAATCCCAGCCTTTCCTTTAGTGGCATGGTACCTTGCAGTACAATTTCAGGGAGATCCATACACTTGAACACAAGTTATTGTCTGGAAACTAGAAAAATGCTTATTTTTGGCCCCCTTTTGGCCCCTTATTCCTAAACGTTTTGGGCAATTACCCCCAAACTCAATTCCAGCTTTCCCTTTGTGATATGGAACCTTGTAGTACAATTTCAGAAAGATCCATTTCCATACACACAAATTATTGTCCTGAAACTAGAAAAATGCTTGTTTTTTGGCCCCTAATTCCTAAAATTTTAAGGCAATTACCCCCAAAATCAATCCCGGCCATTCCTTTAGTGGAATGGTACCTTGCAGTACAATTTTAGAGAGATCCATACACTTGAACACAAGTTATTGTTTTGAAACTAGAAAAATGCTTATTTTTGGCCCCCTTTTGGCCCCTTATTCCTAAACGTTTTGGGCAATTACCCCCAAAATCAATCCCAGCCTTTCCTTTGTGGTATAGTACCTTGCAGTACAATTTCAGAGAGATCCATACACTTGAACACAAGTTATTGTCTGGAAACTAGAAAAATGATTATTTTTGGCCCCTTATTCCTTAACATTTTGGCCAATTACCCCAAAACTCAATTCCAGCTTTCCCGTTGTGATATGGAACCTTGTGGAACAATTTCAGAAAGATCCATACACTTACACACAAGTTATTGTCATGAAACTAGAAAAATGCTTGTTTTTTGCCCCTTTTTGGCCCCTAATTCCTAAAATTTTGAGGCAATTACCCCCAAAATCAATCCCAGCCTTTCCTTTAGTGGCATGGTACCTTGCAGTACAATTTCAGGGAGATCCATACACTTGAACACAAGTTATTGTCTGGAAACTAGAAAAATGCTTATTTTTGGCCCCCTTTTGGCCCCTTATTCCTAAACGTTTTGGGCAATTACCCCCAAACTCAATTCCAGCTTTCCCTTTGTGATATGGAACCTTGTAGTACAATTTCAGAAAGATCCATTTCCATACACACAAGTTATTGTCCTGAAACTAGAAAAATGCTTGTTTTTTGGCCCCTAATTCCTAAAATTTTGAGGCAATTACCCCCAAAATCAATCCCGGCCATTCCTTTAGTGGTATGGTACCTTGCAGTACAATTTTAGAGAGATCCATACACTTGAACACAAGTTATTGTTTTGAAACTAGAAAAATGCTTATTTTTGGCCCCCTTTTGGCCCCTTATTCCTAAACGTTTTGGGCAATTACCCCCGAACTCAATTCCAGCTTTCCCTTTGTGATATGGAACCCTGTAGTACAATTTCAGAAAGATCCATACACTTACACACAAGTTATTGTCCTGAAACTAGAAAAATGCTTTTTTTTTGCCCCTAATTTCTAAAATTTTGAGGCAATTACCCCCAAAATCAATCCCAGCATTCCTTTTATGATAAGGAACCTTGTGGTACAATGTCAGAGAGATCCATACACTAACACACAAGTTATGTCTGGAAGTTACAAAAATGCTTATTTTTGGCCCCTAATTCCTTAACTGTTGGTACCATAACGCTCAAAATCAATCTCAACCTTCCTTTTGTGGTATTGAACCTTGTGGTAAAATTTCATAGAGATCCATTCACTTAAACTAAAGTTAGAGTGCGAAAATCAATGTGTCTTCGGACACCGACGACGTCATACCAATATACGACCACAAAAATTTTTTGGCGGTCGTATAAAAATTAAATAACAGATAGTAATGCTATCAAATGAAACAACAGTGACTACAGCATATACAGCATATTTTCAAGCCTCTGAAATAGGAAGCCTGATTTTTTAGGCTTATTTAAACTTATGCAAATATACTTATAATACATGTAAGTAATTTGCACATTTCTACCTTGGACAACATTTCCTAAATTTAACTTACAATGGCAGGCCTTCCACAACTTCATATTTTCCTTCAAAGCTGACTCGACTAACTCTGCCATCTATTTCATTCCATTTGGTTATCTCCCCTTTCCCAGAACTTTAAAATAAAAACATATTGTCAACAAGCTTGTATTCAACCAAAAATTCAACATTGGTTAACTCCCCTTTCCCAGAACTTTAAAATAAAACAAATATTGTCAACAAGCTTGTACTTGATAAAAAAAACCAACATTGGTTAACTCCCCTTTCCCAGAACTTTAAAATAAAACTAATATTGTCAACCAGTTTGTATTCAATCTAAAATTCAACAATGTTTAAATACTTTATCTTTATTTTCAATCTTGATTTATAAAAGGTAACAGGACCTGAGCAAGATATTATTATTATTCTTCATTTTCACAGACTATTACAATATGTATCTTTCTTTCAAAACTAACGTAAGGTATGGGATTATTTTTTATATTGGATGACATGTACAGTGTATGAGTTTTTTATTGAGTTAACACTGACTGCAAAAAGTTTTATTGATGTATATTTTCATGTTGTGCTTAATTTTTCTCAGCAGTACATGTTTTGAAGTACATATGTAAACGATAATAAATTTTCTTTTCAACTGACAATACTAAAATGTACCTCATGTATTTGGTTTAGTTGACTATAAAAACAGATATATTCACTAGTCTTCAATATACAGTTCCTGATTGATAAATCAATGAAGGATTACAAAAGCGTAAAACTGGTAAAATATGTAATGGAATAATCTCTGTTCTACAATTAATATCATTACTAAACTCATCAAAGCAGAGTTGTTATATATCTTATTTGTGACACATTTACAATTAGAAAATAATGCTAGGAAATGTTTGCGCTTTCAACAAGAGACAGCTTGGAACACAGATAGCATACCATATGTCTGGATCTGCATAATATGGACCACTAAGTACTGTTTCTGTTGTGAAGGATGGTGGACTATATTCTGGGAATGGTACTTTCCATGGTACTTTATCATCAGGAACTTTAAATCTCTTAACATCTTTTGTGCGTGGATAAACCTCACAACGTGCCTTACAGTGAGGACCACCAAACTTCATTTTACTTGGTTTAGTTTGCCCAATCTTGAAACTTAGTCTTCTTACTCCGTTTGAGAATCCAGTCATATGATTTCCATTCTACAAAGAGGCAATCAAAATATTATTCGTACATGAACAAATGTTTCAGCTGTAGCATATTAATCATATTATTTAACATAAAGTCTTAAACTTGTTTTAGATTAAACATTTTTTTTTTTACTTTTAACATTTAATGTAAACCTACAGAAAAGGTCTGTGTTTTAATCACAATTTTGATTTGATATATTATGACAAGTAAAAAATATGTTTACTTAGTTATTTGTGAGGAAAGTTACCATGGTGACTAAAGGAAATTCATACAATGATAAATAACTGTGTGTAAATATATTTACTTTTAATCTCAAAGTTGGGTTTCTTTGTACTCAATTCAGTACTGACACAAAATTGAACAAAAAAACTAACTACATGTATATATGTATTTCATGCATTTCAAATTTTGATCACTTAGACTTTGTAAATGTTTATTAACTCACAGTTATTTTATAGCAAATTTATTTTAAAATGTTGTTTATCTGGATAAAAAGAATGTCATTCAATGCAAACAATGAAAATGCGTGAGATGTGTGTTATGTGCATGTTAGTTGCATTCTCCAAATAATAAGCTTAATTATACAAGTTCATGATTTAGTGTGAAGTCATGGCAAAAGAACGCCAAAAAATCACTCTGATACAAAAAATTCAAGTAGCAGGTGCACAGTGTCATGTCTAGCAGAAGAGTCTATGCAATAATTTGATAACACAAATAACCTTCAATAAAATCAAACGATATATATACATGTATATCTAGGCCAGTAAGGGGTATTCATTTCTTGTTTGAAGTTGTTTCTGTGGCAAATCTGTGGGTCTTTTCTGGTCTAAATATGTAATAAAATGCTCCGCTGGGGCGCAGCTTGATACGACCGCAGAGGTTGAACCCTGAACAGTTGGAACACTTAGTATGGACACAATATTCAAGCTTAATACAGCACTGAATTTGGATTGTGATTAAATATTTGACACAGCATACATTTTGTAGGTTTCTCACACAGAATGAAAGTGGTCTAAGAACTTAGAAATTTTTAATTTACCTATTCAAACCATATCATTATTATTTGCTTTTATATATAAATCATAAATAACCAATTTAAAATGGAAAATTTTAAAGAAAAAAAAGGAAAAAAAAATCCCCCCCAATTTTTTTAACCCCCTTATGATTCATCACCCCAAAACTTAATCCCAGCTTTCCCTTTGTGGTATGGTACCTTGCAGTACAATTTCAGAGAGATCCATATACTTGAACACAAGTTATTGTCTGGAAACTAGAAAAATGCTTGTTTTTTGGCCCCTTTTTCCTTAACGTTTAGGGCAATTACCCCAAACTCAAACCTTGCTTCCCCTTTGTGATATGGAACCTTGTAGTACAATTTCATAAAGATCCATACACTTACACACAAGTTATTGTCATGAAACTAGAAAAATGCTTGTTTTTTGCCTCTTTTTGGCCCCTAATTCCTAAAATTTGGAGGCAATTACCCCCAAAATCAATCCCAGCATTTCCTTTGTGATATGGAACCTTGTGATACAATGTCAGAGAGATCCATACACTTACACACAAGTTACATGTATTGTCATGAAACTAGAAAAATGCTTGTTTTTTGCCTCTTTTTGGCCCCTAATTCCTAAAATTGGGAGGCAATTACCCCCAAAATCAATCCCAGCATTCCCTTTGTGATATGGAACCTTGTGGTACAATGTCAGAGAGATTCATACACTTACACACAAGTTATGTCTGGAAGTTACAAAAATGCTTATTTTTGGCCCCTAATTCCTTAACTGTGGGTACCATAACCCCCAAAATCAATCCCTACCTTCCTTTTGTGGTATTGAACCTTATGGTAAAATTTCATTGAGATCCATTCACTTAAACTAAAGTTAGAGTGTGAAAACTAATGTGTCTTCAGACAACAACGACGCCGGCGACGCCGCCAACGTCATACCAATATACGACCACAAAAATTTTTTTGCGGTCTTATAAAAATGAGGGGTTGATGGCATGATTTACCATCTGACGTACATTGAAAATTGCCTGAAATAGGCCCCATCACGGTTAGTGCAGCCATGTTGAATAGGGGGCAGATTTTCATGATGGAGGTCTAAAAGGCATGAAAAATATGGGAAAACATCATACAAACAGAACAGTTGCTTGCATTGGAAACATGCATAGGATTTATATCTATTTCTATCCAAAAAATCTGCCCTCTATTCAATATGGCCGAAATAACCAAGAAGTGGCCTATTTGTATATGGGGTCTTTGACAAGGTAAATGTAACCATCCACCCCCTTTTTCAGATATTGAATACACCTTATCAGTTTTTGTCCGCCATTACAGGGCCTTACAAAATTTCCAGTAAATTTTTTGCGTCACGATAGAAAATGTCTGACGCCATGAAGGAAAAGTGATTGTTGTATGACATCAATAGACCTTATCACTATTTGGAAATTTGCGCCGCTTGACCCGAGAAGCTGCACCTCATGAACTTTTGACGTCATACAACAATCACTTTTCCATTGTGGCATTAGATATTTTCTATTATGTCAAAATTTTACGGGAACCTTTGTGATTTCCAGTTATGATGGACAAATAGCGATTAGGTGTATAGTTCAAGTGTTGCAGATTCCCAAATAGCGACAAGGTCTATAAATATTGAATGGCTCAATAAACATAAATCTCTAGTCCTGCCAGGCGATTTTTAAGAATAAATTGCTCTGGTGTCCTTTAGGGGAAATCGCCCCATGTGCCAATAGGACGTGAAGATATTTGCTTAATGATATAAATGTTTTACAGGAAAATACACCATTGAACTTGTATGGACACCTGTTGACAATGGTTGAGCAATATATAACTTTTTTCATGAGAAAGTAATTCAAACCTCTTTTTCATATAAAATTTCTTATTTATCAAACCTACCAAGTATACATCTACGACCAATGCAAAAACAGATAATACGACAATGGAAACCGATAACCAAAGCACGCCCTGTGAACAAGGTAAACAATTTGTCATTCACGTGACGTAAACTTCCGGCGTGGAAAGACAACTCTAAATGCACTATTTATTCTTGAGGCCCACCCTTGTTCTAAATCACTAATCTGAGAAACATAGTTGACATAGTTCCCTATGGATTCTTTTCTAAATACCCAAAATTCTCTACATTTGCACAACATTAACTACCTAAGAGTAAAATTGATTTAAACTTTCTGCAAATAACTCAAATTTTAACTTTAGTACATAGCTTATCATACTTATATTATATAATAAAATAATAAATACTTTATTCAAAGAGGGTAAAATCAGTTAGTACAATACTAATCTCCCCTGATGCCCTCTGAAAAACTCAAAATATAAACTTTCATCCCATATTTTAAAAGTTGCTATTTCGTCATTAGATTTATCACATATATCATCAACGGAATTTGAAGAGTATTTAAGTGTTGTGTCATCCGCATACAAATCAGGCTTTGTATGATTAAGTTGAAGTGGGAGATCATGAATATATAAAACAAATAATAAGGGGCCTAGAATACTACCCTGCGGTACACCAAATGTTACTTTTTTACCTGAAGATATGTTGGTATTTATTTTTACTTTTTGAGACCAGTTTGATAAATATGCTTTGAACCTTTTAAAAGAAAGAGAATCAAACTTATACATTTCTAATTTGGATAATAAAATTGAGTGATTCACAATTTCAAAAGCTTTCTTAAAATCTATAAACAACTCCCGTGTAGTTCTTCTTCTTCTTCCGAATACGGGAGTAGACTCCTAGGTAGGAGTGTAAAACTTCCCGGAACTTGTGTGCTATGTACATATGGACTTAATTTAAAAATAATATGACAAAGAAAAATCATTAACAATAACATATATATACATTATGTACAGTGGCTTTGTAGTTTAATACGTTGTTGTGGCTCCTTCAAATGTTAAAGTGGATATGCCACTTTTGAAGGATTCCAGGGTGTCAGACATACCTATTGCTTCAGGTAGTGAGTTCCAGTCCGAAATAGTGCGAGGATAAAAAGAAAATTTATAGAAATCTTTATTTGTTGATATTTGCCTAAATTTATGTTCCCCCCTAGTACGTCTATCAGATATTGTTAAATTGTCCTTAGGAACTTCCACTAACCCCCAATTTATTTTATAAATATAGCATAGTTAATCTAGCTTTTTTCCTTCTTATTTCTAAATTTTCCCATTCCAATGATTTAATTAAATTTGAAACTGCTCCAGGTGATCTGTCTTTATAATCATTGAAGACAAACCTGGCTGCCTTACGCTGTACCTGCTCAACCTGAGTGATGTGTTGCTTTTTGTACGGATCCCATACAGGGGAAGAGTATTCGACGACTGGACGGACAAGTGATGTGTACGTAAGGTTTTTAACCTTACGTGTGCAGTTTTTTAAGTTCCTACGAAGAAAACCTAGGGTTTTATTTGCCTTACAGGTAATATTGTTTATATGTGTTCCCCAATCAAGATCATGGCTTATAGTTACGCCTAAATATTTACTATCTTTTACTGCTTCTAAAACATGATTGTGCAATATATAATCAAAAGTGGAAGGTTTACTTTTTTTAGAAATATGAATAACATAACACTTCTCAGGATTAAAATTCATTTGCCAGTCCTCTTCCCATTGTACTAAACTAGATAAATCTTTTTGAAGTAATTTGGCATCAGAACTATTATTAACATTTCTATACAATAAGCAGTCATCTGCAAAAAGTCTTGCATTGCAAGTTACATGTTCGGGTAGGTCATTAATAAAGAGTAAAAATAATGTTGGGCCTAAAACTGTTCCCCGAGGGACACCAGAATCAACAGCTAATTTTGAAGATTTAACACCATTTAATAGTACCTGCTGTTGCCTGTCAGCTAAAAAGTCATTTATCCAATTTAAATTTTGATTCCTAATACCATAAAAGTTTAATTTCTGGGCTAATCTTTGATGGGGGACTTTATCGAAAGCTTTGGAAAAATCTAAAAGTATAACATCTATTT